GTCTCAGTTCCAGTGTCAGGCTCTCTACTCCCTGATGCATGAATCACTCTTTGCTCTCAGCTCCTATGGTGCCTGAATAATAGTTAGTCATCACAATTATCACATGCATTACAGTGTCCACTTCTTTATTTTTCCCACTAGGCTCTGAGCTGTGTTGAAGGTATCAACTGGGTGTCTAGCACAGTGCCTGACATATGGAAGATTTTAATTGTTGAACAATTGGAATTGAATAGTCCATACTTATCAGGGTGATAGTAAATTTCCACCGACTATGATGAGAAAGCTATGGGGGTCACTTGACCTGAACATTAAGCCTGAAGGTGCATGAAATTTTGTCTGCCTTTCAGTGACATGGGGGGAGGGAGAGGCCTGCTCATGTGCAGGTGCTTAACAAATATTTATTATTGCCTTTCCATTTGATTATCATCACTTGTTAGCATTTCTTAGTGACCTTTGTTTTAGATGAATATGTAAGCTGGGCTGATACACCACAGTTGAGAATAAATATCAATTTTCAAAGAGAATCCCAGTATAGGCTGCATACGCTGAGATCCTGGTCAAAGTCTGTCCTTGCACCTCCTTCTCTTTTCCCTTCCCACTGCTTGCCCACCCACCATCCTCCCCACCTCTCATCCAGCGCACAGCAGGCTCTGTGCCACCGTCTCCCAGCTGCAGCACATTCTCCGTATCAGATTGAACTTCCTGAAACTCAGCATTAGTCTTGTCATTTCCCTGCTCAGAAACCGTCCATGTTTCTCCATAATCCACAGAATCATGATCTGATCCCCGATCTACTTTTCCAAAACCTGGTTCCAAAACTACCTTTCAAGAACCCTGTATGAACCATTTACGCTTTAAGATATCCCACATCTGGACCTCTGTGCCTACCTTCTCTCCTCCTCTCCATCCAATTTCCATGTAGCCAAATCTTATCCACACTTTAAATCTCAGCTCAAATACTAACTCTTCTAAGAGGCTTTCCTCCTCATCTCTTCTGTCCTTGAATTCATATAAAACTGTCTGTTTTGGAATTTATACTTTACTCTTATTTTATTTATTTAACATATTTTGGAACTTCATAAAAAAATTGCAAGTTCACTATTGGAATCTCCTTAGAATTTTCCCAGGCCTAAGCACAGTGTTTGGGTAGATAGTAGGAATTCACTACATTTTGATAAACATTTTTTAAACTACAGAAATAATACATGCACATGTAAAACTTGTAAACAATGCAAAGAAGTTACCAAATGAAAAGAATGAATTCAACAACCCTTTTTCCAACTTACTCCTAAATTCCCCCGTTGTAACCACTATTATAATTTTCTTATGTATCTTCTAGAAAAGTTTGTATGAACATACAAGGATATAGACATAATTTTTTTTTACAATTTTAGTATGTTACAAATGGTAACATACTTCGAACCTTGCCTTTTTCAACAACAATAGACCTTGGAAATTTCTTCATACCATATATGGATTTACCCAATCTTGTTAATGCTTGGATAGCATTCCACTGATGGTACAAATGCCCTCTTAAGGACATTTAGACTAAAGGCATTCCCCGGGTTATGGACGAGCTACGTTCCTGAGAACATCATTATGTTGGGTTTGCGTGTAACTCTGATCTCTGATGAACAGTGCATATACAGTAATAATAGTAACAATACTATAATGGCTCATAGGTGGTAATAATAATACAGTATAATACTGTAATAATAATACCCCTGTACTGTAATAATAAGTTATAGAAACTATTGTGCTGTTTTTTAAAATTCAAACAAACAGAGCATAAAAACATACTCATACAAAAAGTTTAGATATGAGATAGGAGAAATTTCAAAAAAGAATATTGAAGGTTAATACCTAATATTGTGTCAGCACTAGGTTAATGAGTGTTATGCTTATTTTGATCTAATCAAATCAATAACCTTTTTATTTCAATAATTAATCCACTATGCTGCTTAGTGATAATTGAGGCTTTCATTGGAGCTCTGCCTTTCACATGTCCTACTATTCTCACTTTATCCTTTACAATTGTTCTATAGTCCAGCCACTGAAGCCTAATGTTTTCCCAATGAACAATGGTGGCTGGCCTTTCTCTGAACTCTTATTTCTACTTTCGTTTCCATTCTAATTGCTTTTCTCTTTGCCGAAGGCTCACCTGGACTTGAAATGGACTTTCGCTTTGGCGGTATGGTCGTAAGGGTAACACAGACTCACAAAATCCAATAAAAAAGTTAAGACGAAAGTGATGCTGTGCGTAAGCGACTATATAATAAACAGTAAGACCAGCCACTAGTGTCAAGACGCTGCGCCAACAACTGCCTACTGCGTGCAGGTTTGTTTATACATGTGGAAGGAACTAGTTCCCAAATTATTAATTTAATTATTTAATTATAAAGTATCCTTACAGAGCCTTGGGAGCCCATTCATAAGCCTAGAATGTTGTAAGTCGGGTCGTCTGTAACCCGGGGACTGCCTGTATTTCCAATTTGCATGTGTTTGTGCAGTCATAACTGTAAGGTCAACTTGTATTAGTGAAATTTGGGGTCAATAGTTATATCCATGCATTTTATGTTTTGGGCACATTTCCAGTCAAAGAAGCTGCATCAGTGTGAGCAAGGGTCTGCTTCCTAGCAGTGCTTCCCAGCACTCTAATTGCTCTGGGTATTTTCATAGTTTTATTTATTGCCTATTGAACAGACAAAATGGTGTCTCATTATTCTTTTGATTTGTATTTCTTCAATTATAAATAAGATGATTTTTTCATCTTTTTTATATATTTTTTTCTGAAAATCTCCTGCTCTTATACTTTACCCATTTTTCTATTGATTTTTAAAAGCTCTTTATATGTTAATGAAGTCTTTTTTTTGTCAGTTTATCAATAATGTTTTATTTACAATTGATACAAAATGAAGTCAGTCTGTGTGTGTGTGTCTTTTGTGTGTGTGTGTGTCTTGTTTTTAAAAAATGTTTTAGCTTCACTCAAGGGGGGAGGGGGCATGGGCAATATAAGTAACCTTAACACTTGTATCCCCATAATATGCTAAAATAAAAAAAAACCACTAACAACAACAAAAAAAATGTTTTAGCTTCATATACAGAATTTGGAAAAAATCCAAAAAAAGAAGACAAACAACTCAAGCTAAAAGTGGGTAAAAAGATATGAATATGCAATTCTCATAAGAGGAACTACCAATGGCTAAAAATATTTTCAAACATTAAGAGTGATGTTGAGAATATTTTTATACATTTTTTATCCATTAGTAATTCCTCTTTTGTTTCCAAAGAAGACACACATGCACAGACTGATTGTAAAAAACTACTAACAAATAGAAGACAGTCATACATTAAGGAGAAAATACACTATGTTTAAGTGTGGTCCAATCCAAGAAATCAAGGATGGTTTCATGTTAGGAAAATTATGAGTTTAATTATATAGTCATAGGTCAAAGGTTACAAATTGACTTGCCAGGTTCCTTTGCTAAGATTGGATTTTACAAGGAAGTACACAGATGGGCCTAGGGGCAAGTTCAGAAGCCTGAGTGAAGTTTGATCAAGCAAAGAATCTTTGTCAGCTATGAATGACCTTCCATGCTTCTTAGAATTGGGGAGCTACGAAGACAAAAGCGATTGTCATTACTAGCACAATATGCTGTAGATGTAGGTTCGAGAAAGATAGCCTGTATCCCCAGTAGCATTTAGAGAAAGAAATATATCCCTACATATTCTATTTATTAGTAATGACAATCACTTTTGTCTACTTTTGTCTATAGTCAGGCTTCTGAAGCTTCTCCTAGGCCCATCTGTGCACTTCCTTGTAAAATCCAGTTTTTTCAAAGAACTCTAAGTCAATTTGGCAAGAATCCCTTACTCTTTATCCTCCACCATCCTCCAAGTGATATCTGATTACACTGGCCTATCTTTACCTAGAATCCTAATAGGTCAGTTGAACCAGAATCCTCCTCACTCTGACGTTTCTTCTCAGTAATTTTCTATCCACTGACCCCCACCCTGATCCTTGACTATAAATTCCAACTTGCCCATACTGTATTTGGAGTTGAGCCCAAACTCTCTCTTGCACTGCAAAAACCCATCGCAGTGGTCCCAGTACCTATCGTGATGGTACTGAGTAAAGTCTTCCTTACCAACCAGTGTCACTAAATAATTTTTCTTTAATAAGAGACAGATGGTTTTTAATTACTATAACAGGTAGAAGAAAAAGGTTCAGTTATCTCTGGTTTACAAAGAAGAAAATACACAAAGATAGGAGGTTTCCTGTGATTTCTGTTCAGGATTGCTTTCTAAACTGGGCATAAACAAATTCCTTCAGCAAAGTACCTCTGATAATGCAGCCTGCAATTTCATTCCTATTGAACTCAGACTCTGGAAATGCCAGATAAGTTTTAACACAAACAAGTCACTTGAGAAATCCAGATCTCTGTTTCTTTCTTTACCTATAAAATGGTGGCTGCTTATGCTTGCCTTGATAGACTATAAGAAGGATGAAAGGAAATGATGTGGAAGCCCTTTAAAAATCTAAGAAAATGTGAAATATTTTTAGCATTTGAAGTATTACAAGAGGATGATGCAGCAGAATAAACGGTCTTTCAGATTGAAATTTCAAAAATAATCCCTAGTCTTTTCCTACTAAACACACACGCCTCCGAAGGAGAAGATCTCTCTGACATGTTTACCTTCTCTCCATCCCTCTCACCTCCCATGCTCCCTGCAGCCCTTCCCTGCACTCCCCACACCCCCTGCAGATGCTACAGAGTCTGCCGGTGTGGCCTGTACCCCAGGACAGCAGGGCAGATGGAAGAGCACAGACAGGCACATGCCTTCCATCCTCTCCTTGCAGCGTCTACTTTTTCTCACTCCAACATCGGGTCCACGAAGTCAGAGTGAAATACTAAGGGGGCATTAAGCCCTTTAATGTACAGCTGCCGTTGCTTCATTCAACATAAAGTTTCACATGTGCGGAAGATGTGGCTACTCACGAGACACAGAGGCACAGGACTCCTGGCATGGACTCGCTGTCTCTTAACAGAAAGTTGCCATCCACCCCTTCCTGGAGCAGCAAGGTCTCACAGTCTCGCTTGCTCAGAGGGCCGTGGTAACACAGCAGATCCATGGAGAGCACTCTCGAATGCCAGGCCGCCCTGTTAGCCTGAAATCCAGCTCCAGGTCAAGGGATGGCTCTGAGGTGGGGTGAGCCGCGCCTCTTCCTCCGGCCACTGGTGGGAGCAAGATGAGGTTGGTCTGTGGGGCTCAGACAGCTTCACTAGATTCAGGAAATGAGACGAGTAGGGTGATGAAATGACCAGGAAATGGCCCAAGTGTGACTTGCAGAAGTGGGTGAAAGCACTTTTAAGTGCATAGTGAAATCAGTGATGTTCACGGCTAAGGCTGTGGTGCTGAAGTCAAGCTCCCTGGAACTGTATTGCAGCCTTGTATGTCACCGCACATCACCAGTTTTCACCTTCCCTGGCTACTGGAGTCCTTTCCAGGAAGCATACCACCGCTTTTACTGTAATGGATATGCATTTTCTGCTAACGCTGCTTATGATTGGGCTACACTTAGCTCAGAATGGGTTTGGATGCTGAAAGAATTGATAAGTCCAGACACAATGGGAAAATTGAAAGGGTGGGATTTCCATGGATCAAATGACATAAAAAATGGAAGGCATCAACAGGAAGAGAAAGCAATTGACACCAATGGGGAGGGGACAGCCTAAGCCTGCATAGCTAAGGCTCTGAGCCACTCATGAACAAAGGCCATTTGTAACACACTCGAGCATTGTGCCTTTTGGGGAAACTAGTTGAAGAACAAAATTAAAACTATTTAAAAATAAGCAATTCTACCTATAAGGAGAGGGAGGAAACATGTATGGAGGTGAGACTTCTCTAAGTAAAACTTGCTATATAGTTTTAAATGTAGAGAAAGGAGGGGATGGGTATATACAAACACAATGAGTGAGATGTGCAACATTTGGGGGATGGTCACGCTTGAAGCTCTGACTAGAGGGGGGAGGGGGGACATGGGCAATATATGTAACCTTAACATTTGTACCCCCATAACATGCTGAAATAAAAAAATGTAGAATCATGTAATTATTTTATATATTAAAAATAAATAAATAAATAAAAAGCTACCTCTACAAGGAGTAAACAAACTAAAATAATATGTCTAACTATAAATCACTTTGGTGATATAATCACACAGAAAGTTATTTCAACTAACTTTATAATATAGGATTTACATGAACAGTCTTAATTGCATATCCTGCACATTAAATAGACCAGTAAATACATTTAGTAATAATTTGGTATAATTAATTTGAATATATTTAACATATATTATAAGATAAATAAAATTCATACTGATATTAACATATTGAGAACCAAGTAAGATGAAAAACTGCTCAAATTTGCTCACAAATAAGGGGTTTCCCAGTACCCAGAACTTTCAGAGCTAAAACCAAAAGGGTCCTGGGAAAATCCTAGAATAAAGATTTTTTAGCATAAGAAAAGAGATACACATATAAAAGCAAAATATTAAATAAAATTATTTGATGTTAAATTTGAAGTGTATAAATTAGTATGACCTCACAACTTATTTTTCTTTTTAATAAAAGACCTAGAACAGGAGTCAGAAAACTTTTTCTTAGGCTTTGCAGGCCATAGTCTCTGTTGCAAAACTATGCAATTCTGCCATTATAGTATAAAATCAGCTATATGGGCTATAGTTTGCCAACCCCTGGCCTAAATCAGTGAAAACTCAGTAGCAAAGAGTACACTTTGGGACAAAGCTATGGCTCTAAACACCATTTCTCCTATAAAAGAATCCAGAACTTCTTAGGGGAATGGCTGATTTCATGCCTGGGATGCATAGTTGTGTCAGGATGCAAGAAAGATAGCAAAGACTAATTGAGTCATGTCAAAGGACATAAGACCCATTATGGAAAAATTTATATATCAAGAGAATAATGACTGTAGTTCATTGAAATACATTGAATATATGTTGTCCAATAAAAGATTACCCTTACCCAAAGATAGATTTAGCCCTTTGCTCCAGCTCCTTGGAGATAATCTCTAAGCTTTTGGAATGTTATGCCTGATAATAATGTCTTTGTTTACCTGGGAGTCTTGGGCTATGACAGATAGTCTATATTAACAATGTGATTTATGATGGGAGCTTTGGGCCATCTGATATCAGTTCTATCTCTAGAGGGGCTGGAAAATAAGGTCAGCCAAGTGGGTGGTCAGCCATATGTAGGTGATGATTACCCAATAAAGTCTCTGCACACCAAGGCTCAGGTGATCTTCCCTGGTTGGTAATACATGCGTATTGTCACACATTGCTACTGGAAGAAATAAGCACTGTCTGCACAACTCTACTGGGAGAGGCAAACTGAAAGCTTTGTGCCAACTCTCTCCTACACTCTGCCCCATTTGTTTTCCTGTTGCTGATTTTAATCCACATCGTCTTGTTGTAATAAATCATAACTGTGAACATAACAGCTTTGCTGAGTTCTGTGAGTCCTTCTAGCTAATTGTTGAGCCTGACAGTGGTCTTGGAGAACTCTTAATTGCATATATAAAACCTAAATGTTTTTCATTGTATCCAAAAAGACAGAGCACCCTCTATCCAAATGAAAACAACCCATTTGTCACCACAGTAGATAACTGAAAATAGGCAATTAAAAAAGAATTAAGAATTTGTTTTGCCTTACTTGTGTGAACTGTACTTCATGGTAACCATCTAACCTTAGTTGATTAATGAAGATTTTTTTCTACAGAAGACTTCCAGATAATAAATATAAAAGGAATAATAAAATATGAAAATCATAATTTGTAATTCACAATGAAATAAATGACTCAGGAAGACTGTCAATTGTTGAAAACTTTAGGGAAGAATTTGATAATGACCTTTATAAGAGAAGGATCAAGCTGTCACCACCTGATCAGTTTTATAATCTCTAAGAGTGGGACAACCAGACATTTAACACCTACTAATTTGATGCGACAGGAAAGATACAGTATCACTATGAAGTGTACTTCCTTAAAAAGTTGAACTGAAACTAATCATGCCCTTCTAACTAACTTTTAGTTTATGCAAACAGAGCAACAAGTTAGAAGACATCATGAGGAAGCAGACAAATCCAGTGTGTGGGACATTGAGTAGAACAACTAACCTGATTTCTTCATAGGTCATAAAAATTGAGTCAGATAGTTGGGTGAGAACTGCTCTAGGTTAAAAGATATTTATGAGGCATAAAACATGAAAATCTTGTTTGGATCCTGATTTAACAAAGCCAAACACAAAAAATTCCCTGCCAGCAGGGAAAATTAAGTATTGATTAGATATTAGAAAATACCAAGGAATTATTGATGACTTTTTTAGGCGTAGTAATGGCATTGTGCTTATATGAGTAAATATCCATAGCTTTTAGAGACATATATTGAAGTGTTATGTCTGAATCTGGGTGATTGTATATGGGGTTCATTATATTAATGTCTCTATTTTTGTGTGTGTTAGAAAATTTTCATAATAAAAATTCCTTGTATTCCCATGTTATTCTCATCTTGTGTCACTTTTGAGAATAGCTGCATGGTAGAAAGCAATATCTTCAGTTTATCACCTGGGTCCCCTTTCTGTCATCCATAGAAATAAAAGCCAAGGGTAGGCCCCAACCCAAGACGGGTTAATCAGAGACCCTTACCCAGGAATTAGGAGACAATGAGGAAAGAAAGAGGCAAGAGGGGAAGTTAGGAAATCAAAATGGAAATGAGTTCTCTAGGAATGGCTGTATAATAGGTCATTTTTTGCACTATATACTGATGGCCTTATCCCAACAAGCAGTCAGAAAAAAAGAGCTAGTCCCCAAACAGAGAATAAAGTAGACACACGGAGAGAAGCAGAATCAAAAGACAGTTCTACCCAGGTTTCCCATGGAGTTTCATTCCCTGAATCCAGTGATTTCTGAGGTCTGGCTATATCCTTGCCATTGAGTTCTGTGTAATTTTAATACATTTCTCATTAGCTAGTTGGCATTTGTTTTGTTATTTTTTACTAAAGATATCAAATAAATTTAGCCTTACAGACAAAATTCTGTTATCAAGACCAAGGGAGCATGAGGCCAAAGGGAAGGGGTTTTATGATTCTATGATAGAAAGGCTTTCTCATCTACCATCTCCCCACCCCCATTCTTTGTTTCTCTTCCTCCTTCTGCCTTTTCTTTATTTCTTTTTTGTTTTCTTCTTGAGGGCCAACTATGAGTCACAAGGTTCCATGAGGGAGAAGTCACATAGAAACTTGACAGTGTGGCATCAACACCAGGAAGTCCAAGGTCATCACTGACCACAGCAGCATGGTGAGTGCTTGTGTTGTGCTTGTTAAAAGATGCCAGATTGGGGCAGAAAGTGTAGGGCTTCCCATTTAATTTTACTGTCTTAGGAGATGCACTTCGTCTATCTCCTCAAGGAGCTAACCTATTGCACCAGCATCATTCACTGAACATACTCAAAGGTGGGACCCTAATGGACTCTCTGTGACTCTTGAAGGGCAGAGCTGATTATGCGAGAGGCAGTGTGGTGCAGTGGCTCAGCATGAGGCTTTTGCAGTCGGATTGCTTGGATTTGAATTCTGGTTTTACCACTTAGTAACTAATGCAAGTGGTTTAACTTTTTGTGCCTCTGTCTGCTAGAAAATGGAGATGATAATTATATTACCACATAGGGTTGTTGACAGGATTACATGAAGGGTAGTTCAATGTGTGGGGAGATCAGGAAGTACCAGAAGTTCAACATTGTTGTGAAAACATCCACGCGATATTAGTAGATAAGAAATTACATCTTATATTTTCCTGGTTAGAGCTGGAACCCATATTACTGAGTGAAGTGTCCCAAGAATGGAAAAACAAGCACCAGATATATTCTCCAGCAAACTGGTATTAACTGAGTAGCACCTAGGTGGGCACATAGGTACTACAGTAATAGAGTATTGGGGAAGGGGGGAAGGGGGGGCAGGTATATACATACATAACGAGTGATAGGCGCACCATCTGAGGGATGGTCATGCTGGAGACTCAGACTTTTGGGGGGAGGGGGGAAGGGCATTTATTGAAACTTTAAAATCTGTACCCCCATAATATGCCGAAAAAAAAAAAAAGCCATGCTATAACTGTATTAGTTATTGAAAATAATATCTTGGTGTTAAATTAATATGAGCATACCCGAGACATGCAGGTAAACTTCTGAGCTGTTTAAGACATGAATTTGAATAATGCATCCATCTAATAGCTTTAACTATTTAATACATTGAAAAATAGTTTTCACATGTGTCATATTATTTTAAAGTGAAATACTGAGAAGCAAAATAAAAAAGAACCTCTGGAAGAGTGTAAAAATAAAAGGCAAATTTGGTGGATATTATGTAAATTTCAGGAGAGGATGTGATTAGGAAATTTGTTCATTAGGCATATATACATTTGGCAATTTTTTTCCCCATGTAATTTGGTTTAGGTAAACAGACTTGAGTCTTTTTAGGAGAAGAAACTGAGCTTAACCCATAATTCTTTCCCTGCAACAAAGTTTGGTTGCTGGGCTCATTCACAGTGAAGAGGATCACACTATTCAATGTCAAGACAGAGGTGAGTGGGGAGAGAAAAATTAACCACTTCGGTACCAGCGTCAACTATAGTTGATAGCCACAGATGAACGTGCACAGCGACTTTAGCTGACAGCCGTGATATGACTTTTCTGATTTTTCATTTATCAAAATAAAATTGTGAACATTTAAAAATAATGTAATAACAACATGTATGTATATGTTATCTATTCTGATTTACATTACAAGTGAAGCTGCCTGTAAAGTAAAACAAGCTTTCAGTGCTTTAAAGTTTTCCTCATCACACAAGAGCATTGATTCATCGTCAATGCACAGCACTATCGTGGGGGCTATGAGTGCCGGCTGTGGGCAAAGTTTCAGGGCCAGTGAACGCCGTACCGAAGTGGTTAATGAAAACTACTCCTGTTGTTCTCCACCAGAGGAACCTGGGTTTACTTCCTGAGGGAACCAGATCTGTTAGGTGTGTTAGTTTCCTATTGCTGCTGTAACAAGTTATGACAAATTTAGCAGCTTAAAACAACACAAATTCATTATCTTACAGCATCCTTAGGTCAGAAATCTGGCAAGTGTGGCTAAGTTTCTGCTGAGAATCTCACAAGGCCCAAATCAAGATGTTAACAGGCCTATTTTTCTTTGGAGGCCCTTCTTTCGGGAGAATCTATGCCCTTGTTCATTCAGGTTATTGGCAGAATTTAGTTTCATGCCATTGTAGGACTGAGGTCCCATTTTCTTGTTAGCTGTCAGTTGAGAGCCATTACCAGTTTTTAGAGACTTGCCACATGCCTTGGCTTAAGGCCTCCTTCTTCCATTTTCAAAGCCAGCAATGTTGAGTGAAGTCTCTTTCATGCTTCTAATTTCTCCTCTGCCCCCCTATTCCACTGCGTATCTCGGCCTTCCTCTTATACTTTTAAGAATCCTGTGAGTTCACATTGGGCCTACCTAAGACAATCCAGAATAATCTCCTTAAAGTCAGCTAATTAGCAACCTTAATTCCATCTGCCAAGCCTCTACTGTCAAACAATTTAACATATTCACAGGATCCAGGACACAGGGGGCCTTTATTCAGCCTACTACATTAGGGACATGACTGAAGGAAGAGGAGAAAGAAGATGCTGAGGCAAACGTCAGGGACAATCAGAAGAGAAAACAAAAAGGCAGTGGTTGCATGGTCAGCCAGAGGAAATCACATGCGTGCCTGCTGCCCAGGCTGTGTGGCAGTCTTATCCTCTCTGCCACCTTTGTAACTGTGTTTCCTAGGCCCTTAGTGTGAGCCCCGCCCCTGAGAAATCTCACAGGAAGGAGATTGTAATGATTGGCTGCTTCCGGCTGCAGCCACAGCAAACTGTGAGTATCTGTTTACATGCCCAACACTTCTGAGGGCTCCAGTATGAGGGTGCTCTGATCTACTGCCAGAGTGGGAGACAGCAAGAGATGCTTTTGTAGATGTTTTCCTTCTGGGCTTTCGGGAAACATAATTTTATACACTAAGCCTCCTGTATCATGAACAGGAGTCTGGAGGAGTTGTCTTTCCTCCTGAAGGCTTCTGCAAGAGACCAGGTTAATACCATCACCTAGTTTCTTGGTTTTGTATCTCTTGCCCTGATAATACCAAAAGAAGGAAAGCCAGGGAACATCAGAGTAAAGGATCCTGAAAGTGATACCTGACTTTCACCTACTTCTTCCTGCAGCTAAGGATTCTGATCATGTTAAAGGGCCTAGATCATGTCATTGATCTGATCAAGTATTGGGAGGGCAAGAGATTGGCTTCTGGTCTGCAGGTAATTTTTTATTCCTTGACTTGAGTGGTGGTAACACTGATGTGTTCACTTTCTGATAATTATTGATCTCATTAATTTTATAAGTCCTTTTCTGTATATTACAGTTGAATAAAAATATAATGAGAGAAATAATTCCTTCTAACAAACTTCAAACCTAAATGGCTCCATTGGAGAGTTCTACTTTTCATTCAAAGAATAAATAATTTACACAATCTTCTTTAGAGAAACGAAAAAGGAAGAATAATCTTCTACCCATTTGTAAAGTGAGATTCTTATATTGAGAGAACAAGCTTTAAAAATAGTTGCATTAGAAATAAAATATGCTTGAAAAATATTTGACTTAAGCTTAATAGTTTAAATATATAAGAAGCTAAATACAGATTGATAAAAAAATTACCAAGTACCACATAGATATAGAGGTAAGAGCACAACTGATATAGCAAATCAAACAATTAGTTTCTCGAAAAAAAAATTCAACCTTACTGGTAGTAGTTACAAAATTTAAATAAAAATTAATTTTATCAACTACCAAATTGATATATATATTTTAAAATTATAATCTCCAGGGCTGGTGAACCTACACATTGGTAATATCATTTTAGAAGGGAATTTGGCAATTTTATAAACAGTAAAAAATTATTCAATCCTTTAATCCAAATGTTAGATTTCTAAGAATTTATCTTATGGAAATAATCCTAAAATAGGATAATTATTTAAGCAAAAATTACAATCTTGTCATTATCTTACATGGTGAAAAATTGAAAATATCTACAGGTCCTATATTGTGGCTCAGATAAATAAACTATGGTGAATTTGCTTGGTGATCTATTCTTATGTTATCATAAAAAATAAGGAACATAAATGATATTAATGACAATAGAAAATGTTTATGATATACTGCTACACAAAAAAGGATAAACACAAAATTGTGTAAAGATTTTGATATCAATTATCTATTTAAAAACATATTCAAAATTGGCCAGAAAGATGAAATCCTGAGCATTTTTATACTCTTTTGAATTTTCCCTAGTTTTCAAATTTACTACAATAAACATGTTTCTTTTTAAAAACGTGCCCAAATCATCTTTTCAAAAGTACCCATAAAAGAAATAGAAAAGATATTGATGACTTAATCCTCTTAGATGAATAGCAAATGCAAATATTATGTGTCTATTTCTTACCTTAGTCATGTTATGTATTATTCTTAATATTGTAATTTTAAAAATTAGTTATGAATTTATATATCCTGTGCTTAATATTAAAACTGTGTGAATGGAATGTTTTTAATGTCTTGCTATCATAAAAACCAAGTTAAGTTGATTTTGTATATGTGGATCTTTATGTTTTCTTGGTGAGTTTTTGGCCCTTGATAGAAAAAAGATTTCCTATATTTGCTATAGGTCTTCAATAAATAGGTGTTGGTTGGGCCTTAGTAGAGGACAACTCTGGTCTTGACAAAAGAGGACGAAACTGCTCAATCCTTCCTAAACATTTGCAAAACTTAGGCTATTGAAGTGCCTGCTTTATCAGTTCTCCAGTGGAAGTCTTCATCCTCATTTAAGAGGTGAGACCTCTGTAGGGTTTATAGAGCCCATTTCTTAATCTTTGGCATGATGTTTCCAGTTGAGGTTGAAAGGCTAGACTATACGCCTATATTTCCACTCTTCACTAAGCTGCTACGTTCTTTCTGACAAAGTTATGGCTTTGTAAGTATGCAGTAAGAGTCTGACACTATAATTTTGATATTTGACTGCTGACAGCTTTTCAGTCTCACCCCTTCCTCTTCTCTTTCTGCCTCATATTTGGGCAAGCTGACTGAGCTCACAAGACAGCATGAGTACTTCCTCCTTTGTCACTGGCAAGAAGTTCAAAACGCATAAGTTCCTGCCCAAACACAGGAGCGCTTCCAACAGCCCGACTCTCATCCACCATAAAAACTCCATGCCAGGCTCCTTTCACTGCTCTCTCAAGTCATTTTCAGACCAGCTTAGGAAGATTGCTTTGCTCTACTCAAAAAGCCTCATTTTGCAAGTGATAGAACATTTCATACCCCCTTGGTATATGTGTGTGGCATCATTAGTCTTGACACTTGAGCCAAATTTGGGGTGGAGGTCCATCCCATTTCTATAGCGAACAACAACAGAGCACCCTGTAAATGGAGGTGCTGTGCCTGTGTCTCTGAGTCTACATTCAATCCCCCAAACACTGCAGATGACCAGAGTCTCAGGGAAACCTGCTCACACTCTGCTCTGATGCTCATACTTCAGTTTTACTTTTATTTTAAACAAACTTTAAAAGATCACTTGGAGGAAATAGACTTGAGCATATGTGTGTATGTGTGTGTTGATGTTATTTATGTGATCTACATTTTTTCCATCATATAACACAAAGCTGAGGAACTCAAGTCAATGAAAAATATTTTAAGAGTTTTTATCTGGTGAATTGGTATAATATTTGGGGAAAAGTATAATCTTGTAAATGCATATTAAAGTTTTAAACATACAGGCCTCTGACAACATAACATTTGTTATGTTGTTATTTGTTATGTTGTTATGTTATCCTCCTCCTACTTTTCCTCCTCCTCCATACTATTTCTAGGAATTTAACATAATGGGAGTTGGGCAAATTATCAAAAATCTATAAAAATTTTTGCTGTCACATTGTCAAGAAAAATTTCTGGTATACTTTTATGTAAATTGATATATCCATTCAATGGAATAGTAGGCAATCATTCAAGAGTTATGAATATCTGCTTTCCTGAATATAGAAAGATGCCCAGGAGATATTTTTGAGTTTAAAAAGGCTGCAGATCAGCAATCTAGATGGAACCTTGCATGCATGTGTGCTTGTGTGTGTATACACAGGGAGAACTCTAGAAAGAATTTTGCCAAAATATTAATAATGATCATTTCTGAATGGTAAGATTTCAGTGGGTTTCTGCTTTCTTCTGCGTGCCTTAGTATTGTGTTCGATTTTTCTACAATGAACTTGCATAAATGTAATTTTCTTTTCTAGTATCTAGAGACTTTGCAAAGATGCCAGAATCTGAAAGCTGTGAATCACCCCAAGGGCCTCTCTCGCCAATTCCTTCAGTTGCATTACTCTCCTCATGAGGATGTGCAGTAGGTTAGGGCTTGGGTCTTTCTCACCTGCAGCCCTCCCATGGCTATGGAAAGTGCCTCCTTGCTCTTCACACCTGCAGGTGAATCCTTTGCATCTCCTAATAACTACTGCAATTTAATTCTACAGATTACAAAGGCAGACCCAGTTTCAAGTTCCTGACAGAGAGTCACACTACACAGACAGCATTTTACGCATTGGATTTTTTTTGGAAGCTCTATCATATTATAAGATCAGAGAACATTTCCTGTGCATGGTTACCACATGGCTTTCTGATCAGTGCTATATGCCACTAGACCAACTCTCTCTGTGACTTCTTCCTTTATTTCTAACCTTCCCCTGAGTATCTTCATTTGGGTTTGTGAAATCATGGAAGTTAGTATGTTGCTGTTCTGATGCAGCAAAGAAGAAGGAGAAACTGCATATGAGTGTTCATTGCTAAGCCCTCAAGTCCCCTGCTTGGACCTAACACAAGTCCAAGGTGACCACCTTAAATATATTTCAGTGGAGCTGGGGACATTGGAAAGGCAGGGAACATAGTAACATATTAATGATTTGGTTTGGGGCAAGTTATTGAATGAGAAGATACAGTTTCCTTGCTCACAAAATAAGGATAATGTCATCTACCTCAAAGGGCTCCAAAGGACAAATGAGATAGATAATGCATATGACATGCTTAGCCCAATGTTTGGCTCATAGAAAACACTTATATGTGCTGAAGGCATTAATTGATTGCCTAGTTTGGTTCCTGACTTATAGGAGCCTAACAGAAAACAGAGAACAACTAGAAATCAATGCTGTGTGCTGATTTTTGTGATAATAGAATTTTACCTAGATCAGTGGTGGACAATAGCCACTGGGCTATTGGATCTGAGTCTTAAGCCTGAAGATGCCTCAAATGTTATCTGCATATCAAGGGTAGCAAATAGGGGGAGGCCTGGAGATGAGCGGCGCTAAATAAACATCCATTCTTGCTATTCTCTTTTTGTTAGCATGAATCTGTGATCTTTGTTTTACCATATTCCATTGGCAGGATGAATGTCCCTCTTGATGGACACAAACTATTTTGAATTTTCACATTTTTATAGCATATTTATAGGATTCATTTCTATTAATGGAATTTTGGGGCCAAAGGTTTTATCCATGAAATTTACATTTGGCTACATTTCCATGCAAAGATTTGCTGCAGAGTTTTTGAACAGTGCCTGTGTCTGAATACTCTCATTACTACTATGTAATTTTATAATTTAACTGTTAAAAACTAATGAGTAAAAAATAGAATTTCAATCTTGCTTTAATTCATATTTCTTAACTTGTGAGAATGAGCATTTTTCAAATCTTTCGTTTTTGTATATATGTTAGAAAAGTTACTTATCTATTACGTTTTTATAATAATTTTTCCTGTTTGTAAGTTGAATTTCTCTTTTCTTTTCTTTCTTTCTTTTCTTTTTCTTTTTCTTTTTTTTTTAGGGACAGGGGCTTGCTCTATTGACCAGGCTGGAGTACAGTGATGCTCTCATAGCTCACTGTAAGCTGGAACTCCTGGGCCAAGCCATCCTCCTGCCTCACCCTCCCAAGAAGCTAGGACTATAAGCACAGGCCACCATGCTCCACTAATTTTTTAATTTTTTGTAGAAGTGGGGTCATACTATGTTGTCCAGATTTGGTCTCAAACTCCTGGGCTGAAGCCATCCTCCCATTTTGGCCTCCCAAAGTACTGGAATTACAGGTGTGAGCCACCATGCCCTTCCCTATATTTGAATTTGTTCGTTTGTTTATTTTACTGTAGATACATTTAGCATACTTTCCTTTTATAATTTTTAAATTAAAATTATTTATTTTAAAATTTTATTGTGTATATTTGAGGTTTACAACATATT